TCTAACTTGCGTTCTATAGGAAGGGTGTTCGTAAATACTCTAGGGAGTCCCCTTAAGTCCCCTTCTAAAAGTTCAACATTTAAGAAGCCCCCATCTCTCCCTCTCTATTAAATAACCTTTGCCAAATGATTAAAAAAAATATTCATGCTAGGCTCTCTGTACTGGGAGACAATAGAGCTCTGTGGTGCAGTTATCAAAAGTCAATATTTATTGTAACACAACACTGCTCACATCACATGGTCACACACACATGTATGTCCAGCAAATTGCACAAACACAAATTGATTCTCTCTTTTGCACCAACATTAATGCTGTTTGAAAAAAGAACACTTAAAGCTACATATAAAGCACAAAGTCGATACAAACCATTGCATTACACTTAGAGTCCCATAACTGGAACAAGAACATAAAGGTGACCCTTGTCCAATTAAATCCTGTCTTTAAAGTCCATAATTTCAAATCATTTTATTCACTTGATTGGGTTGAAAACCATGACTGCATGTCATCGCTTGTGACAAGATCTGCTTCTGACAAATGTCTTACTAACAAAAATCCACAAGAATTCATTAAAGACTCTCTGTTGAATGGCATGCATTGCTAGCATTTGTTTTTATTTTGATTCCGTCACTGAAGATATCATCAGAAAAATCGAAAGGATTTAGGGCATTTGGTGGTCTCAAATATAATTTACTGGTAAGCTTTTAGCCAGGATTCGAAAAGTAGTTTTAAAAAAGATTTAATATGTGGCTGTCCATAGGATGCCAGGATGCCAACTCCACAAAATGAATTTACTTTTTTATTTTCTTTCACAAGCATATCTATAAACAGAATGTGCAGTACTTACTTTGCTCAGAATACTGTCTTAGTCATGACGTAGTTTTTCGTTGGTGATTTCATTGTTACTGTGCTTTAGAATCGATAACCAGTCATGTACGGATACTAAAACGCTTCCAGTTTGCTTTTTTTGCAAGAAGGGTTTTCTTCTCCAGGAATAAAATGCAGCAGAGAAAGAGCTTGTCAAGAAATCTCACAGAAGCTAACCTAAAATTGGATGAATCTACTAGCGATGTGATAGCCTTTTCTGAACGCTAGCAATGGCACCAGGCAATGACAGCAGTACAAAGGAAAATAAAATCAATTCTCTGACACTCCTGTCAGCAGATGGGAGTACTTTTTCTTGCATCCGAGTACATCTTCCCTACTATTTCTCCACCAATCCTGGACAGATTTTCTCAGATGATTCTCCTAAGAGCCTCTATGGTCTAACTCTTTGCAAATCACACTATACCAGCTAATGTTTACCTTCTTAAATATGTAACAGACAATTTACTACCAATTGTTCTCCTTAAATAATCACCCAATCCAAAAGAGCGATATTGTTGATGAAGAATGATATCGGGTTGAAAATCAAGTTAGATTGCTCAGATTATCACAGATTAGAATAGCTACTACAAAACTCTTCGAAAAGAAGGTTTTCATATTGTACAAAATTCGAGCCGAGGCACGCAATACGAGCTGTTCAACAGAGAGTCTTTAAGTCTCTTACTTCAAGTGGTGATAAGTCTTCTCCTGCCAAGAACTGTACTTTAACGGCAATGTTTCTGGCAGATGTGCTTCTACTGGTATAATTGACACTCAAAGGGTACACATACAAAAGGTTTCTGTAAAATATACATGAATGGTCCAAATTAGAAAACATGCTTAAAATATCTAACTAGTAAAAGATGGATTGGAGCACTACACTGTACTTATAATAATTTTTGGTAATTGAATTAAGATAATAATTTAGGATCTGTCTTTATTTGACAACAGCTAAAACCAGTATTGTGTGTTCTGTAAGTGTTATAAGTTGTGTGCAAAATGTCAGTTCTGTGGTACAAAGCTAGATATCCATGAAGGTGCAAATAACTATCTTCCTACTTGAATGTAAGGTATGGAGTAAACACTTCTCGGGGAGCAAACTCTTCAATCTCTTTGGTTGGCCTGCCCTGTCCATCTGGATATGGGTGAACCTGGTAGTAGGGAAGGATTTCATCACCTTATTAGTAGGGTTTGGTACAATTATGAACCCTACCAGTATGTATATTAATAAATTATATCATTTTAGTATACAGTAATTCACAGAGGTTCACAGATTTAAGAATCTGACATTCTGATTGGTTAAGAATTGTATAGCTGTATTATGGTGCTATATTGACTGTTCTAGGTGTTTAATAATAAAATATTATGGCATTTTAAGACTAATTGTCACTGAACAATGTGACATTTGTTTTCGAGGAGAGAAGAGATGGCAGACAGATCTTGCTGAATGAACCTTTCATTTAATCAAATACATCACTTCATGTCCACAACTGCTTCAAAGTTGATTTATTTAATATATGTATTTAGAGAACCATGGTAATCAGCTAAGACTTGGAGAGGAGAACCTTTCATTGAAACAAATTATGTCATAACAGTAACACATAATCATAGTTTAACTTTCAGCATTAGTATAGCAACAATAGCAGTATCTTTTTTTCTTCAAAAGAGTACCTTTTAGTACTAAAATTCATTTTTGCGATATAAATTTATTTTGTTCAATACCTGATGCAACTCAGATGTTAGGCAGTATGGTGGTTTTTCTCCCGGAGGAGAGATATCAAGCTTCAGTGTCCCTACAAGATATTTAAAATGGTAGGCTTAAGAAAATAATAACCACAAAAATAATTACTCATGATTTTACTGTGAATAAGAATTAATTTTCCTTTCTGGCAGCCCTCAAGGTCTGGTGATGACTAGTGACAACTGGGACAAAAAGCTCTTAGCTGTGTGACAAGGTAATACTTTCTTAGACTTTTAATATAAAAGGGCAAGTTGCCTCACCCACCATTGGACAGAAAAACAATTTTAATTACAAAGTTAACAAACATTAATTTTGGAGAAAGAAACTTAAAGGACTCTCAGTACAGAGAAATTTTTCAAACTTTTGCTCTAAAAATGTCTCTCTTGTTGTTGTTGTTGTTTTAAGTAGGATACTCTATAATTTATTATGCTCTAGATATCTTACTACTGCAAAAAACAAATTGACCCAAGAACCAATTAATAACATAATTTTAACAGCTCTAAAAAATACAAGAATTATACTTACCTGGAATGCATTTAAGGCGTTTTAATACTGAAGAAGGTCTTTTCAGGTCAGCTAAGAATTTGTACAGATCTTCGTCTTTCAATTTATCTGATTCCTGGACAAAATTTTAAACAAATATTTTATAATTTACTATAATTATAATCAGCAGAAAAAAAAGTGAAAAAAAAATTATACCAAGTAAAGGCAGATCAAAGTTGGCCAAGGTGCTGTTGTTTCTAGTCATACCTGTTTGAAAAAACTACTGACAGTGAGGGTGACAGGTCTAAAGTTTGTCAAGTCTGGGACCACTTCTAGTTCACTGCCATCTAACAGATGAATTGACTTGCGTGCCTCAATTAGTGAACTTCGGCTGGAAACACTTTCACTGTCCTTGCGCTTGCTACTTCGTGGCACAACAGGGGGTGTTTCTACAATACCAGATTGCTAGTGGAAAAAAGACCAATTGGCTACTTTGAGAACTTAATGAGTGATCAGTGTGAAAAGAGTGAAGTTTCTTTCATTCAAGTAATCTTTAGCAACTAAGACACCATAAGTTCTGAAAGAAACAACTCTTGAAACTTCCAAATTTACATGTAGCAGGCACTTTTGAGTAGCGTAAATGTGTGCAATGTGGTACACATCTAGAGTTTACAGAACGTTTGTTTCTTCCAGAGATTGCATACTTTTTTAACTCAAAATCCACTGAATTTCATCAAAAAATTCATTCAACTTCCTTTACATTTATTTAATTACTTTTGTACTATAGCAACTGTACTTACCCTGTTACTTTCTGAATTGTACTCCAATCAGTCCAATTACTAATATTACTAAACTTTGTACCAAAAATTAATAAAAAACAGTGATGTCTTTCTTTACATATCACTTTTTCATCTCCTACTTTTCCACAGTTTTAAAAATCAACTACAAGTACTTTGACTGCAAAATAAGTGAGATATGAAAAGCAACGATTAAGATCATTTTTGTTTTAACTACACATTTCAGACAATTCAAGTAATAATAAATATTGCAAAATAAAGTTACCAAGAAAACCTCATAGCATGGCAACATTTTGAATACAGCTACATGTAAGAAGAACTTATCATGATTTTAGCTCTCAAGCTGACCTTGTTAGAGAAAATCCAGTTTGAAGTCATCCATATTCTAATCAAAACGGATGTTTCATGCCAGTTTAGAACAAAATAACACATGCTTTAGCATTTTATGAGGTTTGACATTAACTTTCTAGAGAATGCTGGAAAATGTAATTGCAGGGCACTTTGAGAAATGAATTAAAGTGAGATGTTTCATATAGTATTCAAAATGTTACTGTGCTTTAAGTATATTTTGTGGAAATCTTTTCTTGCTCTTATTACTCGATGAACTTTGAGTGGAATCCATCTTAATAGATGCAGCTTGTCTACATTTGGATTTATTACCTTCCTAGCTGGAGTTCCTGCTGGAGTTGTCTCTTTTTCCTGTGAAGGGCCTGTTGCTGCTGCTGCTGTTGCTGCTGTATCAGTGCTTGCTTGTTTTCCACTTATGATGTCAACAAGGTGAATTGCAGTCCATGCAAAAGGCATGCGATACTTGCCAAGCCTCTCACAATTTGATACAGCAGCCACACGCATCTTCTCTCGATGCTTGGTTTATAAGAAGGAGAATGACAAAAGAAATGACAAACTTTCACTTTGGTCCATATATATGTGTTTAAAACAAATAAGGGGCACTGATCTATATGGCTAGTCTCCTGCCTATCCAGAGTTCTATTCTTGGGAAAGACAATTATGTGAATTATTACATGATAAGATCCTCCCAATGTTTTTATTCTCAACTTTTTAATACCACATGATGAACGAAAATTTTGTGAAAGAGAGACGGAGATCAAAAAAGAATTAAAAACTCAGGAACAATCAAAGGCCCTTTGGTTAAAAACTGTCAAAGCTATTGATGGGCTGAATTACAATCATGTTTACACCAACCTTTGTTGCATACCAAATAGCCTTTAATTTTAGGGCATTTGTTTGACTCCAAATGTGAAAGATCGGTGGTTGCTTTGGCAGCTATTTTGTTCACAATGGTTGAGCAAAGTCGCCTCTTATGTTGTGTGCACTGGTCAACAGAATTACCACAAAAGGTTGTGACCCATCAATTGACCGAGTGACTGAATGAATAAGTGGATTTTTTCCACAACTAGCTACCATAACTCCCTCTGGCTAGGCCATAACTTGTTAAAAATGATATCAGGCTATTGACAACACAACAATTACAGCACAACAAAGTAGAGTTTAATTAAATTTCTTAGCATGATTTTCTTTAGTGATGAATGCTACATGATAGCTCAGTTTGTAGAATACAGGGGTACAGTATTTATTTCATCTTGGGATTGCTGGTTCAAATACATTCGAAAGGAATTTGTCTTTTTTTTCTTTCTTTGTTTTTGCCAAGAATGAACAGTGGCTAGATAATCATTTTCCAAAACTCTGCTGTAGCTTTCCTGAAAATTTGTCCCAT